TACAATTTTAATTAAAATAATTCAATGCTTATGATGATAATTTATCACACATAATGAATTTTAGTGATTATTCATTACATGCACTACCAACTGATGTATTGTTATTTTGATTTTGATTAATTATTATTATTTTTTTTTTTAATTGTCAGGACTATTTTAAAATTAAATTTTTCTAAGAAAAATAATGCTTATGATGATAAAATATCATATTTAATGAATTTTAGTGATTGTTAATTACATGCACTACCAACTGATGCATTATTTTTATTAATTACTGTTCTTCAATTTTGATTTAATTAATAATAAGGTATTAACACTATTAACTATGCGTTTTTTTATTGTTCAAATGTCACTTAAGAAGTAACCAATGATAAAGTACTAGATTATCTATGTTATATTTTTACTCTGACTACACATTTTCAACTAGTTCATTGATCAAATTTTAATGTTAAATTTTTTTTATACTTAATTTAATATTTAGCTTTTCTTTTAAATATAACAAAATATTCTAGTTCAGTGACCTCTAATTGATATGAAGTTTTAGGAAGAAAATGGGGAATACAAGTATACACATTTTTTAATGTTTTTAAAATTTTAAGTTTTTTTAGTCTGCGCTTGAGCAATATACAACTTATGATTTTTTTTAAATAGTAACAGGTGTTTTCAATATTAAATTCAGATAGACAGAACATACATTTTTAGGTCAAAATATCTCCCAACCATGGCTCAAAAATCAAATTTAACTGAATGATGAGTTAACGTTGTAATTTAAATCATTAAAGTTTTTAATAATTATGTTATGATTTATACAAATTTCTATGTGATCCTACAATTTTTTTTCATTGAATGATTTAAATTACAATTTCTTAACCTATGGTTGATAGAAAAAAATATCTATCTATCAAAATTTGTATTTTATACATTTATTGCCATTAAAAAAAAATATATATATACAAATATATTGCGCGTGTGCACATAAAAAATTCACGAAATAGTATTTATGTATTCTCTATCTCCACCTGCTAACCTCATATCAATCTGAAGTCACTGGACTAAATTATATTGTGTTATCTCTAAAAGGAAACACGCTGTATATTGCTAAGTTTGTTTTTTTTTCAATCTATATTTAAAATAAAAAAATTGTGAAGAAATAATTAATATTAAATAATCTTTGTGTTTTTGTTAGAGTTAAATTACTCTATTTTCAGTGCTTCTATAGTTTTTTATGCCAATTTTACAATTTAACAATTTATTATTTTTAGTTTATTTTAAATACACATAAATTTGATTTTAATTTATTGTAGTTTATAGTTATACATTTTTTGACTGGTATATTTACATTATCTCATAAAGTATTATTTTGAATATGTGTTCTATGATCATGCATTTTTAATTTCTGGATTTAAATTTGAAATAAAGAATGAAGGTAATTTAATTTTTCATGACAATAATTTATCATGTATTATCAATTAAGTGATTATTATATGCATTCTTAAATGAAGCTTAAATATTGTATTATAGTATGTATATTTTAATATGTTTTATATCATAAGTGTATTGATGATTACTGATAGTTACTACTGTTGTTATTCTCTTTAGGTATTTATAGTTGGTACTTATTCAATAAAAAATATGGGAAAAGTATACATTTTAAAATGTTATGATTAAATTATGATTTTGAACATACATAATTCATTTTCATATTTATTACTTTAGGGTCGACCAATTATGGCACGTATCAAAGCAAAGCCAATGAATCGCATGGCTGCACCAATATCACCTGGTGCTGTGGCTGGAATTCCAGGTATGAAAACGGTAAATGGTTTTAGAACCCCGCCAATGCAAGCTCAACCTATCAACCCATATATAGATCAAGGTCCAGGTGTTACACAATCTGGACCTCCAGCACCACCTCCCCAACATCCTCAAGCTGCCAGATTGTTTTATACAAATGGAGGACCAGCTCAATATGCTCCAGTCAATTATGCTGCTGCTAATTTGCAAGTATATGTAAGTTAATTAAATTATTTTTCTATAAGTTTATTTATATTTTTGAATAACTTTTGATAAGAACAATTTTATTGTATATGATTAATAAGTTACAGCAGCAACAGCAGTCACCTTATTATCCTACAAATATGATTCAACATTGGGCTCATCCTGCAACAGGTGCCTATTATACTACAGATCTTAGTGGCATATTTTCTGTGAATGGATTGGCTCCCCAAGGAGCTTTTTCTAAACCTCAGAATTCAAGATATAATGTTTCACGTGCACCGTAAGTAGTATAATACTATAATAATACATTTTTTTTTTTTTTGTTCTAATTTTCATAAATTTTAATTGATTTTAAATAGTGGCCGTACCAATGGAAAAATGCGTCATAATTCTGTTAGTGGTAGTGAATATTACCGAAGTTCAGCTTCGGATAGTGGTTTACCATCTCGTCCTGGTAGTTACACGTCAAATGGAAGTCTAACTAAGTCATCTAGTAGTAGTGGATCGTTGCATATTTCCAACGCAACCAGAAACTGTGTTGACAATCAAGATTCTACTGTAGTTGATAGACAGTCAAGTGGAACAATCAACATCCCAAAAGATCCTACAACATTGCCACCAAGGTATTTATATTTTTTTAATATTCTTTTAGCATTTCATTTTGATTATCGAAGTAGAAAATAATAATAATTAGATTTATGATCTGATTTTCAGTTAATTTTCAATTATTATTTAATTTTGTGTCATATAGATATAGGCGAAGGAAGAAAGATGATGAAATAGGACCAGAAGTAGTAACCATAGGAGCTATGCCACAGCCACCAACTGGTAGTTTTGATTTGGCTGCTGATGCGTTCCCTCCATTACCACCTCAAGTTGTGTCTATACCACACCAGTCACCAACTTCATTGCCCCATGACCAGTTGTCACCTCGTAATCACATTGATTCTAGGTAATTTTTAAAACTTTTAGTGAAGATCTTAATAATTTTGATATTAAATAAGACTACTGCTAAAGTAATTTTTTTTAACTTGGAATATTTTGCTGCTTAAAATAGATTTTATTTATTTTTGCCAAGTTCAAAAAATTATAAAATAAGATAAGAACCTGTATTTTAGTTGTACATGTATTTATTGTTTTAAGTTATTATGTGAATAATTTCTTTTCTAAACCATTAATATTACTTTATGTTGAACTAAGAATTTCAAACATTTTTATAGTGAAATAATTCTTATGTATGTTCATTTAGTTTTCTCTATTTGGCAGTAATAATTTTCAAGAATAAAGAACAAAAAGTTTTATTATAAATTTGCAATGATAAATTATTGGGCTAAAAATAATTTAATATATTAAGTTGAAATTTTGTATTTATTTGGTTACCATGTTTTTTATAATATATACTTCTGGTTATTCATTAGTACATTAATAATTATTTATAATATACTCTTATCATTTTATTATTACTGACTTAATTTATAGGATTACTGTTTTTTCATCTTCTAGTATGTCAGCAGTTCTGCCTGAACCCTCTGTATCTAAGACTGATGATATGGACCTAACTGTGAATTCAGAGAGTCTACCAAATGGTTTACAATCAGTGCCTTCTATTGGGTCTGTACCTGTGACTGCAATTATTGATGATGTATCAAATATGTCTATGAGCTCTATTAATTTGCACCCAAAGGTATTTGTTAAGCACACATTTGTGTTAATTAATGAAGAATAAACTAAAATGTTTTATTTTATTATTAGGTTCAGGATATTGTTACGACTTCGAATTCTATAATAAATCCTACAGATAAGACTGTAATGCCAGCGAAATCTGACATACCACCTACTATGCCTAAAGCCAATGGTACATCTCTTATTACTAAACCAACTGTATCAAATCATAAGGCTGCTTCGCCATCACAATGTGCTTGTGTCATACCACAACCACCTGCTACATTTTCTGCAGATATGGCTAACAACAATCCCATTCTTAATGGGAATGGTTCTCCAAATGTTGGTCATAAACTAAGTTATGCACAAGTAGCACAACATCACAAAGAAAGGAATGAGAGTCATATTCCTACCATTATTACATTTGGGCAATCTCCTATTGTAGAAGAAGAAAAAAAAGAAGATACTTCCATACCTGCTGTGATACCCCAATCTAAACAATCAAACATTACAACAGGTATATTGGCAGTTTTATTTATATTATTTTATTTTAAATTAAAATATTATCACTGTATATTTCTAAGCTAGAGATGACAATGTTATGATGCATGTGTCACAGAGTTATTCGTTTTTTTTAGTGACACACACAATTGTCCAATAAAATTTTATTAATTAGGAAAAATAGATTATAAAATAAATTATTATAGGTAGAAAATTAAATGTATTTTATTTGATATGCACAATGCAGATACAAAAGTTTACCAATCTGTTTTCCCAAGTTATACTAAATATAATTATTCTTTTTTTTATTTTAATATCACTTTTTTTGGCTTTTATATTAAATTTCATATAATTGTTTAGTTGTATTTTAAAATTACTTTCAATACAGATTTTATAATAAATCATAAAATTGGAATTGTTATAATTCTTTTATTAAATAACTAATATAGTGTGTAGAAATTGTTATTTTGTGTATATTGATTTAATTATGCATATTTCAGATGGTCTTCTAACTAATCGGTCTGGTAAAGGACACAAAACAGCAAATAATGAACGAGGAACGATTCCCCGGAAAGAAAGATCATCAAAATTCAATCGTACCAAGTCTCCTAAATAAAATGTATATAAGGCCTGTGTATTAGTTGTAACTCAACTAATAAATTACGGTTCTGTAAGTATTAAAATTAATTTAACAATCGCAATATTAAGTTTAAAAATAAAGTATTTTAACATTTAAATTGAAATTTATGTACAATTAGTAAATGATTTCTTTTCTTTAAGTAAATATCCAGAACATCATAAATTCTTCAGCACTTGCATTTATTGTAAAAATGATGTGTGATAAAACATTAATAAATTTAATTAATTTTGTTACATATTTTTATTCCCATAATATCAATACATTTTATTTTATTATTTTAGTAACAACCTAATTTTTATGCTATGTAAAATTATTATGGTTAACTTAAGCTTAAAAGCACAAGGTTATTGTTGGTTAATTTTTCAGTATAAAAACAATTCACTACAAGTATGGCAAATAAGTGGAAGGAACTGGACAGTATCGACACACAAATTGTAACATTGTTTTATGCTTAAATTGATAGGCTGAAAACAGTGATAGATAAATATTTCCCCGTCCTACTGTCATTATATTCTATTCAATTTGTCCAAATTATTATGTTTATTGTTAGTTTTTTTTTTTTTTTACATAAGTTTAATATCTTATGATTGTTTCCTTTTATGAAAAAAAAAAAAATGCATAAAACAAAACAACCTTGAAACAAAACTCTCCTATTTAGATATATTCATATATACTTATGTTTATGTATATATTAAAAGATTTAAATAACATAACTGTGATAAAAAATTATATATTAACATGCATTAGTTTATATTTGTATGTCATATATTTATATATGTATTATATATATACACATATATTATATATATATAAATATTAATTTGAATTATTTGTAATCATAATTTGCATTAACATAGCATAATTATGAATTACTTTGAATATTAACAAGTAACTTCTATGTTTCAACTTAATTTATCAATAACATCTAATTTTGTTATTACATTTTAGTAAGCTTGCAATATCCTCAAGTTTTCAGTTTCATTGATATTTATTTTTTGACATTATTTGATAATTGTTATTGTAAGTACTTATACATTTTTTTTTTTCAATGTATAAAAAAAATTTTGTGAGTATTGACTGAATGGATTTGAACAAAATTTAAAAGCTTGAAGTAATTTATAAAGAGGTGTTTGATTTTTTTTTTTATGTTTGTTTATCACAGTGTTGTTATATATTTCATTAATTATTTAGTTCAGATGATTTTTAAATTACAGAATGCTTATAAACAGGTATATTTCTTTTATTTATACTTATAAGCAATGTTGTTTTGTTTTGTCTTTTATTTTAACAGTATCATGCAAGTAATTTTATAAACATTAAAATGAATGCAATATTATTTGTATTTTACACTAAATTATATTAATTTTTATTGATTGTATTATTTTAGATGAAAGTGTTAAATTATCCCATGAAACGATATGATACATTTGTCATCCACATCTGTTATTCGACCAATTTTATTTATTTATTTTGTTTTTTTTTTTTACATTCTTATTTAACTTTTTTTTAGTTTAATTTTTACTGATATTCATATACAAAATATATATTATATATATAAAATCGGAGTAGAAGTGTTCTAGTTATATCTTATGGTAGAACAATGCTACAATATTTTATGGTTAAACATAATAAGTAGACATCAGGTTTTTTTTTTGTTTTTTTTTAGAAGAAAAATTTTATTTATAATTTATTCTGATTAAAATGTCTTCTAAAAATGTTTCCAAATTTAAATGAAAAATGAAATAATAGAAATATATATATATTAAAAATTAAGTTTAGTTAGTAGACTAGATTTTTTTTTTAATTTTTATTGCGGCCATGATTGCAAATGGTCAACAATACATTTAATAAATTGATTTCAAATGTATAAAATATAGTTAATCTTATATAATATGATATAGTTAAATGTAAATTATTTGATGAGAGTTTTCTGTTTGGGGTTTTCTGTCTTATTTTTATCCTATAACTTATCATTAAAACTTAACACATTTCATTTTACATACTATCAAGCTAAAAGTTATAAATTAACATCAGAACAAAACATTGTTTAATGCTAGATGAATAATTCGAAAATAGCTAAATTCATTTGGTCGGTTTTGCTCAATTTACATAAATACTTTTTGCAAATGTACTAATTTAAATTTAACATTGATCTTTATTTATGATCCTTACAAAAACTTTCTTTCTATATTTGTTTTAAAGTTATATGTTAAATGAGTTCATACCTACTTAATTTGTTTGATTTCTTTTTGCTATCAACTTTTTTTTTGGATATTCATCAAGTCATAAATTTTTGTTTTGGGATAATTTAAAAAACTGTTAACTGGTTTTATGATAAAAGATTTTTATATAACACTATATTATCTAAGAAAAATACCTTCAAATCAAAAATATTTTGCATAATTTGCCTTTTTAGTTACCATAATATTTGTCATTTAAATTTGCTAACATTTAAATATAAAAACACTATTAATACATTCAATATAAAATCATCTGGTGTAAATATTATATATATGCTTTTAATTTAATTGCCACTGATTTGTCTATTAATTTTCATTGTTTGATGAAAAAATTAAAAACAAAAATTTATTATTATTATTATTATTATTATTATCATTATCATTATTATTATTATTATTATTATTATTATTATTAATTTATTATTATTTTGTTTATTGTTACATTGTGGTTGATACATTCGCCAATGTATAGTAATGGCCATATATGTGTTATGTTTGTTGTTTATTGTTTTAAAATAGAGTAGGTATATGGCTTAAATAAAATATATAATATAACAAAATATGAAAATAAGAAAAAAAAAGCTCATAATGGAAGCCCCATTAAGTATTGTTTGTTTGTTTTATCTTTTTTGTTTTTAGTTGTTTAATTATTTTGGGTTATATTGTGTTATTTGTAATCTTTATTTTGAATGTCTCGATATTGGATATTATTTAAATTTTACATTTCAAGAACATTTAAAAATGTAATTAGTTGGAAGGATACTGGGATGACATTTTTTCTTTTGACAAAATGTATATTTTTTTATTAATCATGTACATACTTTGTTATTTTTTTTTTAAATACCTAAATAGCTAAATAATTAACATATACATATTTAAGTGGAATTAGGAAATAATTTCCCTTAGTACTAGTCATGGGAGGCTAATATTGATAAATATATATATATATATTCATACATGTCTATACAATGTGTGTTAGCTTATGGTTTAATTTATTAACTGATTTTCCAATCATTTATTATCTGATTTTTATTTACTTAAATAAAAAAAAAAACGTGTAAGATATTATTGAATATGATTGCAAACCTGCTTTTTGAACATAATTAACCATGTACCTACTACCTAGTAATATATAATTAATACAAAATGTATATATTTTATTAAATATAAATAACTGCCTTGGTAAATAAATGTATCTTTTATATAGTCATGTGACTGAAAAATATTACATTTGAATCTTTATCATTACCATTAATAAATATTAATACAAGCGCATAGTGTTTTAAAATTACACTATTTTAAATATATTTTGAAAATAATTGTGGTGAAGGGTTTGCTTGATTGGAAAATTAGAAATTTGGCTGTCATTTAATATATTTTCTTCTTTTTTTTTGACCATGCCCTGACACAATTTGTATATGCAAATATGTATTGATGTATATTCCTTCCTAGTTGAAGGAAACTGAAAAAAAAATATTTCAAATAAAAATATAAAAATATAAAAACAAAAAAAAATCAATTAATTTCTTTATAATACATTTTAATTAAATAACAGGTTACAAAAGTTTGATAATATAATTTTTTTGGTTTGTTGAATTTTTATTTTCTTTAGATGTCAAATGTATATTCTTTTGTAGTCATTGAATTATTTGCAAAAATAAATGAATATCGAAGCTCAATAGTATTAAATTATTATTTCTTTTACTTGCCTTGATGACTTGTTTTGAAATCATTTAGTTCCATTATTTGTTGTAAATGTTTTGTTTTATAATTTAAGTCAAATTTACTAATATATATTCAATTTATATATAAATAAATAATATTTTTAAAAGTATACTCTTTGTTATCATTATATTATGGTAATCAAAAATATTAATTCCCAAGGTAGACTACTTCATTGATAATATTTAAGCCTATGGTGCATGCATCATAAACCTAATATCTATTTCATAAAATTGTTTTCTAATTGATCATTTTAGTTTTAGCATATTATTATAAATGACTTTTGACATTACCTATTTAGTATTTATGTAGGCCTTCCGGGTTTTATATTATATAGAGTTTACAGCCAGCCCTAGTATTTTATATTGTGTTAGATATAATATTATTCATGATTTTATTATTACATCCCCTTTGCCAGATTTCCATTAACCTGTACTGTTGTGCCTAATTCCACTGTTTTTGTTACAATATTATATAATAATAATTATCTTATAAAAACTGAGTGTTTATTGATCATAATATATATTATTAATAAATTGTTACATGTGAAATTCAAACGGTAACACGATGTACAGTTATAATAATTATAATTTCAAATCGCATTAACGTTTGAAACCAGTTGACTGATCCATTTATTTCTGTTTTAATCGAAAACTATTTTAACTTATTTATATTTATATTTTTTAAAATTCGTAAAAACTATTATTATACTGATAATTATAATAATATGAATATTTAAAAAAGAATAAACGTGGTTATGTAATTGTTAAGGTGTAAATAATAATGTTCTTTCAAACTGGATTTCATGACCATCTAGTAAGAAAAAAAATATATATACTAATAATTAAAGCTTTATTTAGTTGTGTTTTTCTCTTTTTTAAATTTGTGTACGGTTTATCCTAATGGATGGCGTACAAATTTATGTGTTTAATGTTCATGGAGTCTTGTTTGATTTGGAATTTTTGTGATATTTGATTATTAATCTTATAAATACATACATTATATTTAATGAAAAACAAATAGCAGACCTTGTTTTATTGTATTTTATCATAGATATGTTAACAATTATATGGTAATTGTACAATAATATGTTTTTATATTTTTTTTCACCCAAACAGGTTATCCTATTTCCTGAGTAATCCTTACCTACTACCTGAAAATCTCAAACTTCACCTGAGCAGTGTGTACTATAAGTAATGCTAGTTAATTGTTTAATTACAGTTTTTACACCATAGTCGAAATAATTAGAACATTTTATGGTCAATATTAAACGATGGCATTGGTTTAACGTGTGATGTACATGAACAAAATGTGAAGTACTTGATAGTGGACAGTTTTTGAAGTTTTTAAAAATCAACATGAAGTTAGTACTTTGCGTAATTGATTAATATTCGATTAAAAATAAATAATGTTTATTTAGATTTTTCTTTTTCTAAATTTCTTAATGCTTCAATAGCAGCATTATCGTATCCGTGTTTTAAAAAGCGTTAGTGAACATGTGTAATAGCAGAAAATCATGATAGGCTCGTTGCTCGTTCATATTTTCAAAAGAACAGCAGACAAAATGATTCGTGCATAATACACATCGCCACATAAGACTTTCAGTCAAATTACCTATAAATCAAACAATGAACGACTTTATGACTTCGGATCTTTTTGATCGGCTTCAACTGGTATAACAATATCAAAAAATTAGAAATTCTACATTTCTTTTTCAATGAAGAAAAGGATCTCAATAATCTCCACAAGTAGGTATCTTATTAATTATTAAACAATTTTTAAGTCAATACAATGTACTCCACTTCCGTCGTCGATACCTGTGGAAAAACTTTTATTTGTAACTATGTTAAATTAACTAAGAAGTTATATGAACTATCAGATAAACTATTTGAAAAACGTGTTGTATAAAAGTAAATATATTATACAAATATTACGGTTTTTTATATTATTTATTATTATGTCAATATCGTCATTATTAAATTATTATTATTGTAGTTAGATACCTATCCATATGGATTGAATTTATTATAATTACCTTAAAAACATTTAGTTAATCATTAAAAAATAATTATAAATAAAAATTACGTACCTATATCATTGTTAAAGTTATTTCTTATTTCTTTTGTTTTTTATTTTACATCCTACTAACCAATAAGTGTAATACACTTATAATTACATTATACCTACCCTGATCAATAAACTATATAGGTATTTTTAAAAATTATATTTAAAAATATAGCTGTTGTTCAGCCCAAAATTGTTATTGAAATATCATTAATCATAAAACATTGAAATTAGTCATGATTACAAATTAACATATTTTTAATGGTAATCATTAATCAGATTACGATTTATGCAACACTGCATTCAATATGTACTTTTTATTTCTAACGTTTTTTCATTACCTACCTTTATAATATTATGCTGTAAATCATTTTTTATTTTATTCCATTAAATTGTATACAATTATTAATCAATATAAACAGGAACGAAATGATGAATACTTCCTCTTTTAAGCTTGGTTTGTGGCGGAGGCATTTATAGTTACGAAGTAATTATTAATAACAGATAATAGTTAATATGTAGTTTTTATAAATGATAAAAAAATTGAACATTCAGCAGACTTAAAAGTTAAGATTACAAAGCACGTAGGTAAATATACCTAAATGAAATATAAACCGTGTTCACCAATTTAAGGAACACTGAACTTCTAGGGCGGACTATAGGACTAAATCGAATTTTTTTATTAGTGGTTAGTAGTATATAAATACAAATTTACAGGTACATTTCAAAATTTTTATCATTCGGCAGGCGCATGCGTTATCAAATATATTTTTTTTAAATAGTAATACTTAGGTATTTTGGACACCATATTCGGATTCGGATAGATTTAATTTTTTGAGATAAGTTGATAGTCATCTACCTACCTATCACCTATGGTTCCAAATTAAAAATTAAATCAATAATAAATGGTTTTATGCACTATAATAAATCGTAGAAATATATTTTATATTAAAATTGAAATGGCTTATTCAATCAAATTTAATTTAAAACCATAATTGATACACAAACATTATCTTAAAAAATTAGACTTATTCAAATACGATGTTCAAAATGAGTATTACTATTTAAAAAAAAATATATTTTTATTGCGCATGCGCATACCGAAACGATAAAATTTTTTAAATGTATCAGCTATAATGTGTATTTATATACCACTAGCTTGTAAAAAAAATCGATTTATTTCAATACGAATTGGCAGAAAAATTCAGTGTTCCTTAAATTTGTGAAAACACAGTATGTACTTATATATGTATATATATAGTATACACATTACACGTAGATTATATTACGTAATATTACAGATAGGGGCTTATACGAACAATAATAGGAAGTGTATTTGTTGTATTTTGTAGATCACACGTTAAATCAATGCCATAACGATAATATAAACATTTGGATATTTGGTGAATATTTCAACTTTCAAGTATCTACGATAATTAATTTACGAGTTGCATCACAAAAAAACAAAATTGATTTCGTCGAAAATTGGTTTTACATAAAAATATTCGTTTTTGTTTCTACAGATTATAAAATTAAAAAAGATTTTTTTTTTTTTTAAGCGTTCAAGTACCAACTATATTTAATTTGTTACTAAAAACCATCCCCTTTTTTGGAAAATGAAGCACTTTTCTTTCTCCAAAGTGTATAATAATGAATAAAAAACACACGTCATCATCACTGTAAAATCTATACCTATGTTCATCGCTCTGCTCTAAATCTAAAAAATAGAGAAATGTATGATATTTTTTTTAGAACGTTTTTGACTAATTATTATATCTATTAATTATTTAAATTAGGGAAGTAAAAAAAATATTTTCAAAAACGATAAATGTTTTTTCACTTGATATAATGTTTATTTCTATTCCATGATATTTTTAAATAAATAAAACAGTATTTTCTATAGTAAAATTTCATCGTCTGGTGCTCTGTCTTGTGTACTAACTGTACTGTGGTCTTAAGTGTGGCATAGCATAATATTGTATTATTATCACTTTACCCGTGTTGTCACTATAATTGCTCAAAATGCATTTAGCAATCTGTCGTGGTATAGTAAGTTGTATTGTTTGCCAATAATTCTTTCGTCGGTGATAGTAACTGTTATTATCGTAGTGCGTCGCACTCGCAGGTCACAGTTGACGACACAAACTTTTCTTTTGTTTTGTTTTTGTTTTTCGTGAATAATATTTCACAATAAATTGTCAATTATAATATATTTGTTCCGCATCAATTAATATTATCATTGTTGTACCATAACCCACACAGTCTTGTACTCTTGTATAAGACTGATCAGAGGCCGTTCAAAAGCCAATGACACAGATTACTGGGTAAGTTTTCCTTTAAAACTTGTTAATAACATTTTATTACGATAATAATATTATAACTTTAAGTATCTGATCGCCTACGATACAAGTCGAGGTGAAATAAATCGTGCTCTAAAAGCGAATTTTGTTTTAATCGGATAACTCGCTCGTTCATCTACCACATTGATACTTAACCTGTGTATGCGTGGCGTTCAGTAAATGATTTCTCTCAACGTACCACATTAATATCTTTAGACTCTTTAACAAAATAATTATATACTTTTAAGTGTTTTGAACTTCTTCCACTGTTATAGTTCACTTCTAGCTTCATTGCGTTGCAGTGGTGTCATAAATAATTCTTGTTCCAGAAACAGTAAAATTGTTTCAACTTATTTACCTCTAAAATACTAATACTGACAGTTCCTCTATGCAAAAAATCATTCAGTGACAACAGAGAGCTACCCATTGACTAGTAATAAGGCAGTACCCACCCATCCATTAATTTTGTGTTTAGGATACTTGTTCTAAAATTTCTTGGTTGTGTCACCACTATTGTGTTGTTTTGACATAACTTTCCTCTCAAATAATAGAAATTGGTTCAACTAAGTTCCATTGTTTTTTTCTCAGTACTAAAGTATTTTAAACATAATATCAAAAATATTTACTTTATAGCATTTTATTATATATGTATACTTAAAATAATATTATAAATTTGATTAAATTCATTAAATTTTAGGGTGAATAATACATCTATCATGGGACGTCGTTTAACTGGACCTTCTGCCAGAACTCGTGATGCACAACCCCTTCCATTATCAACACAACATAATTCATCTGCGACAAATGATCGAAATAATTTGTCACAACATGATGAACTTATTCATTTTGTTGGTGGTTGTAAGTATTATATTGTGTATAAAATAATATATTATAGGTATATGTATAGTAAAAAGTTATTTGTCCTAACTTCAGTACTAATCAATGACTGAAACATCTTATAATGATATATTTTTTTATCTAAATCTTAAGTAATATATTATGTTAAACTTAACTTAAACTTTTACTATAACTTTAAGTTAAACTAAAACTTACTTAACATTGATATATTCAAATTATATCTGCAGTAGTATCTTTCAATTTTAAAAATGTAGTTGATAATATTTTTTAATATAGTACTGTACATTTTTAAATTAGAGTTAAGTAATTTATAGATATTTTAGAGTACTTTTAGAATTACTTTTTAATACATTGACCTCTGAATATCCTCTTTTTAATTTTTTTTTTTAAAAATATTAAAATTAACACATATAACTTAAAAATATAAAACTTATATTGTAAACTAAAAAAAAATTTTAAATTAATAATATTTGTCTTATGTATATGAAAAGTAAAAGAATGTTATCTCTATTACAATTATTCTACAAAAAAATCTCGCCTACACCTTTAGTTAATGGTAATTCATAATTTGTAATTTTTATTATTAATGTTTTAGCATGGAATGTTATTTTTCAAGAATATCAAAATGGAAACCAAGGATCTAATGGTGAGTTCTTTATCCTTAAAAATTATTAAAATTCTTTAACTATGGCGTTACTCAATAAAATATAAGGTTTAATCATACGTACAATTAAAGTTGAGTTGTATTAACAAGTAACAAAACATCATTATATATTAAATTTGTTGTTTTTTTAAATCATTTTTATTTTTTAATTAATGTCATTTATAATCAACTATAACTGAATTATTTGAAATGCATAACATTTCAATTTATCACTAACAGTATTATTGAAAATGGTGCTTAGTTGTTAATGCTTACTCTATTGCATAGTCATGCTTATTTATAAATTATTGTTCACTCATACTTAGTAAAATCAAATAATATGAATCATCAACAAAGAGCAGCTGAATTAGCATATACTAGATAATAGTTATTATCACTGTAGAACCTATTACAATTGCTTGTAAAATAGTTCTTAATACAACTTATATTTTTCCGCTGTAAAAAGTGCAATATACTTGTATACCTAGGGCACATGTTTTTGCATCCTCTGTTAGTAAAAAAGTTAATACAATTATTCTAAAAAAAAATAAAGTGAACAGGAAAAATATGGTTTTTCTTCTATATTAAATTTTAATATAGTTATTTAAGTTTAAGGAGTATTAAAATTAATAATAATACATTGTTTATTTTATAATTTTTTAGGCCGTTTTCATATACAGTTCTACGAAGAAGGAAATAGTGATACATTAAAAGGTATTATGCATACATTTTATTAAATCATATTTGTTTTCTTTATTATTTATAAAATTAAGTTTACAGTTTTAAAATACTTATAATTTTCTTCAAAATTAAAATATAGTAAAAAGCCCATAAGATCGTTTAAATAATATTTTTACTTTTAAATTTTATCAGAAGCTAATTCACTCTAATTTTTAAACTAACGAAGCAAAACGTGATCTGCTAAGCGTAAAATTTACTATGTTATGCATTTGTAAGACGGAGACAACAAATGCGGGTATCACATCCTCTTAAAATTTTATTTTACATATTTAACATTATAGGTAATATTAATATTTTATTAATATAATGAATGCAGTTATTTGAACTACTTACCTTTTATTTAGATTATAATAATATTTGAATCATCTAATTGTTAAATAAAAATTGTAATTTGGTCAATTTGTTATTGAATTTGCTTTACCTTAATAATTAGTAGGTAAATATACCAGAGAATAATACTTGCTGTGCTATTGGCGTTGTGACACGTTAAACATTTTAAAACTGATTTCCTTAAATGGATTTGGCTTATTTCCTAAAATAATTAAAACATTTTTTATTGCTGTTGTTTATAGCATATATAAAAGTAATACCTAAATTTAGAATATTCCACCCATTCTTTGGACATTTCCCCGTCCTTCAAACTGAACTATTTCCCTCCGGACAAAAAATTAAAAGTAATAATTTTAAACAATATCATTAATAAATGTATTATTTTCAAGAATTATTGTTAAATAATTTAAAAATTGTTAAATTTATATATAAATATATTTCAATACGTCATAATAGCATTATTGTCAATACAATATTCACTAATATACATATTTCATCTCTATTTATTATTTCTATTACAAAATACACAAAAAAAAAAAACAATTATAAACATTCACAAAATATTGTGAAGTGTACCAAGAAACCTATGAGCTATATGCTTTTAATAGTATAGATAATTTGAGTTTGATTTATTAATCTTTATTGATTAAATTGAGTGATAAGTCTATAATGTGAATGATGATAGTTAATAAATGTAGATATTATGATATTTTATTTTGGGTAAAATCAAATAACCTATTTTCTAGCTAATTTTTAGTGTAAAATAATATATATTGATTCAGGGGGGAATAATTTTAGAGAGTTATTATAATATTTTATGTACCAAGTAATATGTTTTATACTTATTTATTTCAGGATTTAAACCCTTTGATCTAGAAGCTTGGTGGGGAAAACAAACTATTCAACGATACCAACAACGTTCCTAATATTATTACACTAATATATTGTATTGTATTTTTCAGTTAATTTTTTTTTCCAATTATTTAATATACAAAATGGCATATGCCTAATGTCTTGATACTGACAATTAAATTATATTTTATTATCTGCTATTATTTATTAATCATCAGCCTCATGCAGGTATGTTCTAATATTTATTTATGACATGCCATAATATTTTTATAATTAAAAATTTGATCATGATGGCAAAAAAAAAAAAAAATAAACAAGTATTATTTAATTTAAATTACTCTTTCAAAACTAAAATATATAATTTATATATTTAGATTTAGAGAGTAGGGATTAAATACATTTATTCCCATAAATAAATTTGACATTCCAAGTAATTGGATATTTTAGAGTAGCATGTGTATTCGTTATTATATATTTTATTTTTATTATAGTTATGACTTATGATGTAACTCTTCTACAATTTATTTTATTTTAAATTATAATTTGTTTTTCAATAAAATACTTCTAATTTAATGATTATTGTCAATTTATCAATTATTTTTATTTAAAAACTCAGAATTGTTAAAGATTCTTGTTATAAAAACTATTATTGCAATATATTTATGATATTTCACATTATTTTTGAGTATTTAACCAAACCAATGTAGATAATTTAACATTGTAATTTTTAATGATTTATTAAGTAAATCAGTAAATTTATTTTTAGTATTATAAATAGCTATATATTTTATATATAATTAAGCATTAAAATAGTTAATGTATACCGCTACATTCTTAAAAAAAAAAAAAATGTGTTTTATTTAAAGTTATCATTTATTTTTTTTTTTTAATAAATTATTTTATACTCAAAGTGATTGTTTTTTTTTTTTTGAATTTATGACAAAATATTATTACTATACACATATATTTTTTTAAAATAACAAAAAATTGTTTTCTTTTTTTTTTTTTTTGGTTCTTAAAACTATTAACAAAGTATTGAGATTCATGTAATCTTGTATAAAAGTTTTAAAAAGTGATTATCTGTGCCACATAAGATATTAAAAATAAAACTCAGTTTATACTCGCTTATATATATTTTCTTTACTTTGATTACTTAACGAGTTAAAATTCTATTTCTCTTGATTCATTTAATTATTAATGCATTTTAAACTTAAACTATTTTATTAACTATTATACTAAGTACTAATGTCTGAAATTCCAAATTTAATGTATTTTAATTTTATTAAAAATTATTTGTCAAAAAAAAATAAATTATATCTAAAAGTCTATAACTATTAAAACAATTTTAATTGATAATTGATTTTACTAATATTTAAAAACACAAGTAAACTGAAAGTATATTTATGAATAAGACTTATATTACTATAATAATTATAGTCAATAGTATTAGTCAGTTAACTATTGCTTATATTTTTAATATTGACTTACCTGTTTTCTTATTCAAACATATATATTTTACATTTCTAATTATTTTGTATGATATAAACGTAATAAACACTTCATAGTTATTTGTTTAGTACCTACTTATGTTTATGTAATAATGCTTTGATTAATATAATCTATAAGTTTGTATTAATCTTGGTGGTCATATCGATAACCGCTCATTTACCCATAATATTATGAGTATACACCTACTTCTTGGCTACTAAGGCCAATGTCATGAAATAAACCATTGAAAATGGTACGGTGGGTAATTTTAACTCAAAACGCATGATTATCTTTTTATTTTAGACTTCGACAAGTTTATGTCCTCAGATCGATACATGAATTTCATATTTGTCGTAGCAAAGGTAACATTCAACATTTATATAGATGGGAGGGGGGGTACTCACACCTATAATGATGTATTTCCCATATAAAAGTGTTGACTACAACAATTTATTTCTTAAATTTTATTTGAGAGATGACAGGTATTGCCATTGATTAAAATATTTACACATTTTATCGATAGTGTTGCTCTGCGCTTTGGTACCTATCAGAAATAGAACAACATGTTTTGTATAGATGGACAATCTCGGTTTTTTTTTTTTTTTTTTATAGGTAAATACCTCTATAAATAATTATAACGATTGGACCGAGATAATCGTTAAATTCGCAGTTGTATGTTTTCGCGTTTAATTTTAATAACTTGACTACGCAGTACACAAGACTATTGTGATTAGGTAATGTGTGGACTATGCAGTATGCCCCGTGTGGCGGTAATATTACCGTCATCGCTCGTCGAGGTTTGTGAGATCATTGTTGAAAAGGCGTTAATTATGTCTCGGGTCGTGTACTATAACTACTAGTCACTGTACAGTACGCGGACTGAGACAGAGCAAAACGCTACACGGTAACTGGTGTAGTACCTAGTGTGCAATGGCTGCGAGCAGTTTATCAGATAATTTTTTTTCGCGGCCCCAGGATCACGATGATCGGATTTATTATTACGTCGTTATGTAACTCCGATCACGAACCCTATGCAAAGGAATCCGGTAGAGTATTGAGTTTTTAGACCATAAAGTAACATTAGCTAGTCACTATGCTACTACTGCTAATAATAATAATAATAATAATAATAATAATAATAATAATCACTCTATGTATGGTTTAGGTTTAGTAAAGCCAACAGAAATCGCCGGCACACGATCTCTCACGTAAGGTAGGTAATATATTATGTATATTAATTTTTCGAATAAAAAATAAATGTACATCGGTCGCTTCTGCTGAAATCTCAATACAGCTCGTGAATTACTGTAATCTATTGGAAGGGGATTCCGGACTTCCGTTGTATCTAGCATATCATATTATACCATTTATACCTATCTATCTATCTATCCATAGCTGTTTTCCATTGTTATTATAATAATATGGTCGTGTAACGTGTAACTACTTATATATACCTACCTAATAATAATTAATACTATGTACACCTGCGTAGTAGTATACAGAACAATTAAGTAAAATTTATTACTTTATTAGTACGCGAGTACGCCTAATACTAATACTACCTACTAGGAGTAGAAGTGGTATACGTAGGAACGTACAAACATTTTGTCGATAGAACGTGGAGGTTACGTTTAGGTTAGATCGCCGTTAGGTACCTATACGATCGTAATTCGTACTATACAATAAAAGTTATCTATACCGATTTAGTTATACAGATTCAGTCGACGATTTATTTTATTACGCACAAATTAATATAACAATACGTAATCCAGTATTAATCGCAGAAAAAAGTTTCTAAAAGTAGGTATTCGGAATGGTTGAAAATTGACCCTCGAGACGTGATCATAAAATATTGATCGACAGTTTTTTTCAAATCATATTTTCTTACCTACACTTAAGTGTTGAAAAAATAAAAGTACCTACGTAGGTACCTCCTCTATTTGTCTCATTGTCATACCCACCCGGCAATATCAATTCATATAAGTACCTGTCTGTCTAAGTACGTCTTGCGCTAACATTATGCCGCGAACAATGCTGTAAGGACGCACTACACCTTACTCCATACCCATACGCCGTATGTATAGATGCCGTTGGAACGGGAGATAGAATTTCGCGTTAATTTTACAACTTGTAATTTACGTTATCAATAGGTTGTACGTCTAAGCGTGTAGAATTGTAATCTGCGACAAATTACATAACAACGCGTAATTCGCGCCACGTTTCAATACGCATTTAGGTAATCTGTGGTACGACGGAAAACGTAATGGCTGCAAATAGCTTATATACCTATAATGGTATGTACATGGCCTGACGCTTATGTCGCACGCTGTCAACCGTTGGAATTAAGATGATAAATTTATCTAGTCCACATGTCCACGTCAGTTGTAGCGATCGTGCACAAGACGCAAATAAATCACATTAGAACAATAAATTCCTGATTTTTACACAAGTAGAGGTCTTTTATGAGGTATTAACACATTGAACTCTGAAATATTAGTTATTACTTATTTATACAAAAAGTTTATTAGATACCTAAACCACTACTATTTACTGTCTAAAACGGCCATATGCACGATTATACTACATTAGCTTACATTTTTTTTTTAATTGTACTTTGTGTGCGTCTTAATGATGAATATTACTTAATATACACATCGATGAGTTAAAAACAATTATCATCTGTAAATTATTTTGAAGTGGCGCAAATCGCAATTTGTGTATGGTTACCTATAGGTACCTACAAGATTGGGCAGACTACTCGTGCATAGGTAATACATTATTTTATTTAGTTTTATACGGCAAAAACGACCAAAATTGATTCGCCTTTTTTCGTTGTTTTTGGTGCAAATTACATAAACATATATGTTCGTTGAAATTTCGGGCACTCGCGGCTGGCGGCTGGCGGCTATTGATAATCGGATCGCAATGACTGTTCGTCGGAAATCTCGAAATGTTTCATTACCAGCTACGTACTCTTCGACCTTTGTGCATAGGTACGCATTAGGGCAATAGGACGTTATGGACAAATTATTTAGATCAATATTTATAATATAATAACAACTGCGGACACGAGTTTCGCTATCATAATGCCTTTCACCACTTTTTCAGGACTTGGGCAACATTTTTTTAGAAACAGCCTGTATCAATGATACTCTACTGTTTTCACCACTTGAATACTGCATCATTTTTTTGCAGAAAAATACTTCCTTTTTGACAGATTTTTGTTCGTTTAAAATTTTGTACAGCAGTAGGTGCAATTCATTTTCGTATATTAATCTGTACTTCATTTAAGGCGTCGATAAATTGGTATATAATAGGGTTACTGCGATAAAACATTCCATTAAGGGTAGCATGAACACTTTCACAAGCATTTGCGGTTCGTGAAATAGAAAAAATTAAGTTTTTCACTATACATTTTTATACACAAAATATATGATCAGAAAGATGACAAATGTTAAGTAAGCACTAGAAAGGTTGTAGTTAAACTGATCAAACATGTTTTTTGAAAACTGCCTCAATATCGTCAATATCAAACATTAATTTCCCAGTGTCCACGATCGTTATAATATCAAAAATAATAATTGGAAATTTGTTCGCAATTAGTATCTTATACTTGTGTCCTAAATTCGTATGTTACCTTTTAAGATTTTGACCACAACTCGCACGGTTTTTGTAACTTTGTCCGCAATTCGGAAACACCGGACGTTTAGGTACCCACATGGCCACGCGTGTTGTCTTCGTCTTATTATAGGTAACGCATAAACGTGATAACTGTCAATTTAACGTTCGAAAGATTAGTTTTACTGTTATTTTGAATGTTGCAGATGATCGTCTTATTATTCACTTTAAAATATGTAAGAATATTGTCTGGGGCAGCACCTCGTAGATAGTTTTGTTAGCTTTTTATCATTGAAGCTTTTAATTGCCAAGTCTCATAAGCCTATTTTAATGTTGTAAATATTTTGTAAATTTTAAGATTAAAATACCTAACTTACGGGGTTGTATAGAGAATATTCTTATCTGTAAATTTGGTAATAGGTCAATTGACTTAAATATTGAAAATAACAGAGTAAAATAGATGCTTCTTAACGTTGAATTTGGCAAATGTCGTGCGTTAGTCAAGACGGAGACGACTTACAACATGCGGGCGGGCAATAATGTGTCCTATAAAATGGACTATGGTTTTGATGTTATACACCGCGATTTGTAGAGACGGCTGATAGTTTAATCAGATGATTCAATCGGCCAACGGATTAATTTAAGAACGCGCGATAGCCGTCGGCGGCGCGTGATTGACGTAAAATTAAATAAAGACAAAGAGTAATTCCTGCGAGTTTCTACACAGTATCAACGGAAACGTACGGTGATCATTTTGGGTTTATCCGGCATTTCATCGCCGAGTCTGCCAAATCATGTTAATTTTTTACGAGTTGAATAATTTACATCGTCCACGATAAGTAAATATACCTACGTGGTTTTCTTTGTTCGATTAGTGGTGGACTTTCAGTTTGCAATACGCCGTCGACCAAAGGTAAGAGCCAATAAGTAACATTATTGTATCATCAACGATTTAATGTAACGACTAACAGTAGTAAAATAGTTTAAATATAGTCTACCGCAAAGTGCGCAATAATAATTAATTGCGTTGGTACCTATAAGGCTATGTATATTATACATTGTAAATTGTAATACCTACAAACATAACGACGAACTCGATCGCCAGAATCGTATTTAAAGGCAATAATGAGTAAATGTTCATCCTTTTACACCTCTCACGATCCATTCCTTTAATTTACAGTTAATATTGTCTATATTCTTATATTTTATAGTTCGTTATAATAGTTTGTAAATAATATTATATTATCATCAGCATAAATGTCGGAGTTGTATTAAAAAAAAAAAAAAAAATAATAACAATAATAATCATCGAAAGTGATTTAACATTTATTATCAATATTATGCAGTAATTAAAGAAATTTCCGAGTTACAATCATTAAAAATGCATAATTGTAATTTTTATTTTAACATTTAAGTTCTTTTGTTAAAATAAATTATTTGTGTAGGTAATTGGCTGGTATTTTGTTGTCTCTCTAGTCAAATACAGATATAATAACACTCTGTGAATTCAATAAGACGTAATACTCTGTTTATAAGTGTGATAAGTTGCATACAATGCGCGTCATGTATTTGTAACTTGTAACATATTATATAATAAAGTACCTATCTTTTATGTATAATTGCATGCACAGAGAACACGACATTAAAACTTTCTGGAATCGCAATCTTCTCAAAAATTTTTTAAATATTGAAATTTGAGGAATTGTGTAGGCTGTGCGCGCATATACGTACAACTTATGGGCTCCGTACAGTGTACGCACCTTCATATTTGTGATCATTATTGGAATACTGCCAAAATCAAGTCGTTGATCGTTACAGACCGTGTCATCGTGACCCCTCAGGGTGTTAGCACTACCAACTGTATACAATTAATTCACGCTGGGAGCATTCCATGAATGAAAGGGACTGTTGCAGTATAGGTCCGTATGTCTAATAATATCATATTACTTATATTATTATGGATTAATTACCTACGTAAAAAATTAATAGAACATCTTTATTCCAATGCAGTAAAAATAATTTGAGCAAAAAAACTTGTACCTATATAGACATATGGATTGGAAAAAAATACATATTTGAAGGGGCTATGTTTTCGACTTCAGCCTGTAGGTATGAATAGTCTAGACGATTTCTATTTCACTTTATTAACGTCACGCACGGATTTGCTATTTATGCAAGTTATTATGGAAAATAATTAATAATTACTGCACGGAAGGGTTCAAGGGTAGGTGTAGCTGGATAACTATTACATAGGTACCTATATACACTTGTTGCATTTTTATTTAAAATTAGACGATTTTCAATCTGTAAAATATTATGATAGGTACACCTAATAATTACATTTGATAAACTAGTAGATAATTTAGTAGTGACACAAACAAAACGATGAGAAATCAATAATTGGTAACACCTTAATTAATTAATATAGCCATGTGCGTAGGATAAAGAACATTCTAAACTATTTGCGTTTAAGTGTGCGTTTTGTGACTTTTTTTGGGAGTGAGATGATAGAATTAAGATAAATAAGTGGATTATACTGTGTTTTTAAGTTTTGGTGAAAACGTTAATAAATTATATTTAGACTATACATAATAC